AATTTCTCCGCGTATCATTGTATTCTGGGACTAAATAAGGGGCTAAAACGGCCTTTACAAGGGTCGATTTCTTTAGACTGGAAAATCGACTAGCCAAAGCACTAACATTTTACGGTTGAGATGTCATTTACACGGGTCGATTTTGGTTGAACGACAAAAATCCACTAGAAAATCGACCCACGTAAAGGCGCCTTAATCCAGCGAGCAATTATCATTAAAGTTAAAATAGTAATATATTGGCGCTTACACATATGTTAGTGTTTGGCCGAGCTTCTCCTCCGATTTATGGCGTGCGCCTTGATGTTGTCACACAAAGCGGAGGGACCTACAGTCTTACGCCGACTCCGAACGGCGATTGTATTTTTATGAGAAGCTGTTTTTCATGGCAGAAATACACTCGGAGGTTTGCCATTGTCTGCCGAGGAACGACCGCTGTTAAGAAAAAACCTTTTTTCTATATTTTTGCGATGTTGCTTTCACCAGAGTTTGAACCCAGGTGCTGCGGAGTGGAAGCGCGCACTGCTTACCACTACGCCACAGCGGCCGATTAAAGTTAATATGCCTTGTTTAAAATTAATAAAAAATTATTTCATTCTTTACCGGGACAATTGTTACATCGCGATTGTGAGGGCCTATTCACGAATTCAAGTGTATTTGCAAAGGTGCTGTAGCTCACCAATGTAACGATCGTATAGATAAAAAGGTAAAATATAACATTTTATTTGCTATTAAAAACCCCACCTCCTTTCTATTTGAAGAGTCAATTCGTTGATGCAACAAAACGGAGCAGATTTTCAGTGAGCGGAGTAGAGGACTAGGTTTCAAATTATTTTGACAAAACGGAACAAATCTACTGCTTTCGGAGCAAAGTCCGAACGATTGTGTATATGAGGAAAATTTACGCTCTTTGTTTGGTGCATAAACACGATCCAGAAAATAAAGGTCGCGCCATTCGCGGACCGCTAACCCTCTCATCGTCGATTTGACAGCATCCACCCAATCGCTGACGTCATAAAATACGTTTGTTTACATTCACTGCTGCCATCTTAATGCTTTTCGCACCAAATTTAGTGGGTATTCAAAACGCGAACATTTTTGAGTTTGGTGCTTGGTGCGTTTTTGGTGCTTTTGTTTTTAGTTTGAAGACACCAAATTATAAAATGTTAAAAAAATGGAAGCAAAATTTATAGCAATCATAAGCGTGGTAAGCAACTTCACAAAAATTTAAACAAAATCATGGCACAATCATAAGCGACAACAAAATATGTGGCAGCACCTTCAATCAAGCCAGAAGAAATCGACCGTCGTGCAAGAAACATTGATTTTTATTAATTTGAATCGGCATCCTTACAAAATAATTATGTATGCATATAAAGTCCATAAAATACACCAATAAATATTTGGTGCTTTTTCAAATTCAAAACTTGGCAATACTGCCTTTTGTTCGATGCTTCCTCTTTTTCTTGTCGAGTTCGTCTTGCTCTCTCATTCTGGTATTTATTGACGTCACGGCCAGTTACTCTCAGCTCGATTGGCGCAATCTTGTATTCTATCATTCTTGGTGCATAAAGTCAGTATCACCGCAACCGTACTGCGATTAACATGATGTCGGTGGGGATATAAATAATTTTTTCGCAACTTTTCATACCCTTCCTCCCGTAAACTGTTTTTCCCTTTCTCTAGCCCGTGCTCGCACTTTCGCTACAGCGCCACTGAGCTGATTATACTCCACATAGCGCATGTAATCTGGCGTGTTCATCAGCTGTCTTTGAGCTGTCATTTTATTCTGTATTTTTATAATTATAAGCTTTTATTTAACTTGGTCATCCCGCGGAAATCGCGGAAATTTCCAATCGATTTTAAACTAACTTCGCGACAAGCTAGAGACTTGAAATTTTCAGCATAGTTCCAATCACGATGACAATGCAATTTAATATATAAATGAATTCCCCATATGGTCCAGGGGTCTTGATTCAAAGGCGGTAAAAAAATAGTAAGATTTATGGCTAACAGAGCGTAATTTGCCAAAGAACGTAAAACCACTATAAAATTGTTAAACCTGCCGGCGATAGTGTGGCAAAGCTATTTGTGGCAAATTCTAGATATCAACCTAGTCTAGATATGAACCTCGTTGTAGGAGTTAGAAGAAGTTAAATATTGCGCCTAAATATGTGCACTGTTTACATATCCTACAGCGGAAATGGAC